AATTCTCAAATCTTTGGGCACACATATGCTTTCTTGATCTTAAAATCAAAAGATACTATGATTATCACATAGGAGGTCTACAAAGTTGGTTGTCATTTATAAAGTATATTTTCACTAAAAATTTAAATGAAGGGAAACCATGTCTCTGTATTTAAACCTCTCATATTTTGAGGTTTCACACATGAAAATCAGTATCATTTGTTACATGTTTTTAGAACTTAAAATTTTACTCTTTCAAGCTGAATCACTTTAATTTTATGAAAAACTCAGTTCATGGTTCTTCCACCCTAGTCTCAGTGAAGCTGATACCATGGACCAGCACTGGTATAAGAAGAATGGCTAGAAGATCTTGCTTCCTACCATGGGATGCAGAAGCGTGGGGAACATCAGGGTCACATGGAAACTCTGAGCTGTAAGCATGGGTTGTAGGAAAAAATGCACACACATGAGGGCCCTTCTTCCTGCTCTGGGCTGGCACTTCCCTGGCAACACTTGTTGCTGATTACTGCTGTGCCATGAAGTCCTAGACTCAGCTGTGAAAAGCATCTCTTCTAAGATTAGCAGGGGAAATGGCAGCACAAAAAAGTAGTTTTGTGTCTTCCTAGAAGAACTGACTCCTCCTTGTGGGCTGTGAAGTGGGAAGAAACATGCTCTCGTGTGGATTTTTGCTCTTCTTAAATCCTCTGGATCAAGGATGCTTGGCAGGTATACTTACATTAAGCTAACTTTAAAAAAGCAATCTAGTCTAAATGATAAGGAAATAGGAGCCGGGCGTGGTGGCGCACGCCTTTGATCCCAGCACTTGGGAGGTAGAGGCAGGTGGATCTCTGTGAGTTCGAGGCCAGCCTGGGCTACCAAGTGAGCTCCAGGAAAGGCACAAAGTTACACAGAGAAACCCTGTCTCGAAAAAACCAAAAAAAAAGAAAAAAGAAAAAAAAGAAAAAAAAAAGAAATAGGACAAAAGATTATTAACTTATTTTAAAATATTTACAAAGCACCTATGCATGCCAGTCACTGTACAAAAGTTTCAGCAATTAAGAGAAAACAAGCAAAAATATCAGTAGAACAACTTGTGGTGTGAAAAGATGTAAAACTAAATGAGCACATGTTATAGGGCTTCCTCTTTAAGACTGAATACTATTCCGTTGTCTCTATATATCACATTTCTTTATCCATTCTTCCACTGATAGACACTCAGGTTTTATTCTGAATAGTGTTGTGATGAACGGTAAATGTTAATATTTTTAGATATTTTTAAAAAATATTTTTTAAAATATCCAGAAGATGACTAAAATAATCTGTTAATTTTACTTTCAACTTTTAAAGGAAAAATAAAACTTTTAAAAATATATTGTTTGCCATACACTCCCACTTCTTCAAATAGACAGTTGATCCCTATATACAATTCATTATCATGAGATGTAAGTAGCCTGTAATATATCAGGATGGGGGTTGCTCCACCTGCCAGGAAAAATGACTGCCCTTCTGAATCCTTATAAAGCTTTTCTCTTGAGCTGCATGAGAAATCTAAGCAAGAATAGGACCATAGGGATGATCCTGCTGCAAAATACAAAAAGGCATGTGTCCAGGCAGTGGGCCAATGCTAATCACAGCGTCCAGCACCTGCATACCCTCAGCTGGGGGGCTCAGTTCTCAAGAAGAAATTCACAGAAGGCCTGTCAGCACCTTGCTGTGTGTCTGGGGACAGAACTCTCTAGGAACGTGCCTGAATGTTTCCCACATGGTAAGGCCTACTTTCCAACATTTACATAGCTCTGAACTGCAGCACAGAAGAATCCTTCAGAACCTGGGCTAGGAGGTGGGCTAAAACTCAAACACCTCCTTGAGCTGAAAGGGGGCCCCTGTGGTGCTCAAAGGCACCTATGGAGAAGAATACACTTGTTAAAGAAAGGCTACTTTTAGGGTCCACTTCCTAGGCGTGAAGTCTGTGGACTCAGAAGGATCCCTTACTTGGAGCACTTTTCTGCTGTGGACTCAAAATTCTTAGCAACATTCTAACAAGGAAGGGATCATGTGTTTCATGGTTTTTTTTTTTTTTTAATCCCAAAGCTATGCAGCCAGGTTTGACTATTTTCCATGTAGAACCAGATTGGAAAGCCTGATCAAGGTTCTAGAGTCATCCAGGGCACTTAGCTTGGAAAAGTGTGTTTGGATCAAGGAGAAGGAAAGGAAAGAATACACCATATTTTGTAAGAGAACTGAGTATTGTGTATCAAACTCGAAGCCCATCCTTTTAATTTCCCCAGTTAGTACGAAGTTTCAGACTCTAAAATACACACTTTATCTGTTGGTCCATGGGCATTCCTCATTCTCTTCTCATTCCTTTAGTTTGAAAGAGCAGCCTAAAAGACACACACAGTTAGAACCGATAGAAATGCAGCACAGTGTGAGAGCCAGTGTGGAGGGACCAAGTCTGTGCTGGCTTTTACTTCTCCCCATGCTAAGACGTCACCTCCAGACTTGGTTACTACCTCATTCCAACACCGTTCACTCCCACTAAACCATGATTTAATTCCAGTGTGGATGATACTTCTATTACTCTTATTTTTATCATCAGAATTTTGTCAATGGAACTGGTTATGTTACTTGTTATGTTACTTGAAAGGCACAGGGGAAAATTTGGGCCTCTTATTAAAAATGCTAAGAATTCTAAGGCAGCAACAGCAAGAATACTGACATAAACATGGGCCATTCCAAGAATGGAGTCTACATGACCCGAGGCCAAAGGGCCATGAAGCCTAATTCTCTCTGGCCAGATTGTGAAATACACCCTTTCTTTTTATTTATTTTTTCATTTACTTTACACACCCACCACAATTTCCCCTCCCTCCTCTCCTCCTATTCTCCCTTTTCCTCCTACCCACCACTCCACTCCTCCTCCATCTTCATTCAGAAAGTGGCAGGTCTCCCATGGGAGTCAACAAAGCATGGCACATCAATTTGAGGAAGGACCAAGCTCCTCCCCTGCATCAAGGTTGGGCAAGGCAACCCAGCTTGGGGATTGGATTCCCCAAAGCCAGTTCATGTGCCAGGGACAGATCCTGATCCCACTGCTACACAGCTGTCACCACATGCAGAGGGCCTAGGCTAGTCCCGTGCAGGCTCCCTAGCTGTCGGTCTAGGGTCTGTGAGCTCCCACTAGCTCAGGTCAGCTGTCTCTGTGGGTTCCCCTGTCATGACCTTGACCCCTGCCCTGGCAAGCTCTGGGAGTCCTGTTGAAGAGAGAGAGGAAAGACTGTACACCCTTTCCTTAAGCAACAACTATCTGGCTTGGCCTAAGACTAAGAACAGCTCCCATGAAGCCAGGGCTGAGTTAATCTTCCTGGACTTGCATGTTATTAGGTAGTAAGAATTCATTAATAAATCCAGGCTGAATAGGTGAGAGGGCAGACCATGAGCTCTTCACTAAGAGCTGATGCAAGCATTGGTTCATTATAGCAGAAGACTGGTTCCAGAAGCAGCTCCTCAGGTCTACCTCCTCTTGAGTCTAAGCTTGACATCGCAAGCCTCTTCTTTGTTGAAGAAAGAAGCTTCCCCTTTGCCATGACCTCAGTGCCTCCAGAGAGCCCTGAGCTGGAGTTAGACATTTTAGACTCCTTCACCAACTGGAAGGTAAAATCCCTGAAGCCAGAGACTCTTCCACCACTGTTCTCCTCTTCTTTGTCTTCCTTCTCCTCTTCCTCTCTCCCCTCTCCTTTTTCCTGAACTTTATGGCTGACCAACTCATAACAAAGCCATTCTTAAATGCATGTTGTAGTGTCAGTGTTATACTATGAAGATACACAGGGAGAATTTTGTACGAACACTCTGAGTATAATGGCCAAAGTCCTTAGAAAAAGAAAACTACACACATGAAGCCTGAGCCCTCTTTATACCGCCAATATCCTGTACAGGGACTTTGGATAAGATCTGGATGAGCAGGAGACGCCTGTCAGAGATCACCCAAAGAGTCCCTCTAAGTGACCTGGGGTGGCATTCACATGACCCTCCTTATCTTCTCTCAAAACAAGAGTCAGACATGAGCAAGCTTTTTTACCAGAGCAGATGAGCATCCCCAAGCTTGTCTTTGGAGGCAGCCAACTCCAGTACTTTAGCTTTATCCCAGTAACTTTCCTCTCTAGTATTTAAACATTTATTTTTCTGTTCTCTGAAAATATTTGAAATTCATCACTTTGAAATTCATTCCACAGTTACATGTAGTCAATAAGATTTAGTAAATACCTATAGCACACATTCCAGGCATGTGTGAGATTTCAGTGAAGGTTTGTGTATGATATTCCTGGTACCAAAAGAATGGTAATACAACACCACTAACACCCTCATCTCCTGGTCGCTGCTGTGCAAGAGAAGACCAACTCTAAGATATGGCAAAGGTTTTTCAGTAGTGTGGAAACATGCATCCATGGAAAATTGGCAAAGCTACGGGCTTCCGTGATGATCCTTAGAACTCACTTTTGCAATTTGGCATTTGTCTTTGTGTTAACCTTCCTGTTAATCTATAGTGGGGAATGTTGATGTCTATGAAGGTAACTGCCTAATAAAAAGACCATCTTACCATGTTTGCCAAAGTAGGACTTTCTCATAATGAGACTTTCTCATTAATTTTCCTTCTATGCCAAATGTAAAGCTAGGGCACGATTGCCAAGTCCGAACACATTTAGGAGATGACTTACTCCTAGTTAAAACCACTACACAGTCTACACAGTCACAGTTTCTAAATTTAGTTAGTTGCTCTAGGTCAGTGCTTGGTGTTTGAAACAATCTTAAGTACGTAGAAAGTATGAGAAAAACAAGATTCTAAGTCTAGATTCTGAGTTATGACACCAGTGCAAGATAAGACTATCACAGGCAGTAAATCAAGACATTTCAATAAAATATATGTGCAAATTAAAATGATTATGTTTCTCTGTGCTTTAATTCACAATATAATCCCAATAAACGTGACCTAGTTAAGGATGAAAAAGAAACTGAAGACGTACTTTGGATTTCAGTGATCCTCTGTAAAGAAGCAGCAGCATTCGTGTTTGGGATCTGGTGGAGGACATCTTCCTCAAGAGGGCCCAGCTGCAAGAACAGGAGGAAGAACATGGGCAGAACATGACTTAACAGTGAGTAGCAAGGAGCAAAGCATGTGAACAAGCTCATCCTCAGGAACCTGCTCCAAGAACTGCTTAACATTTTGCTGACATCAGGTCCCTAAGTGTAGTCAGCTATATTTTGTGTCCATATGATTAAATTCCAAGGAGCTTTTCTATTGGTCACAAGATTAATGCATGAAGGCCCCGAAGCAGGTGCACATCTGTGTGTCAGTCATTTAAAATCTGAGTTATTTGTGTAATTTTTTTGTAGCTTTCTCACAAACCAAATTCCATCATGAGGGTCTCTGCAGCTGGGGCCAGCGAGCAAACTCTCAGGGAAGTTTCATCAGAGTGGACAGTCTATTATTTGTGTTTCAGCAGTGCTTTTACGTGTAATCGTCTTAAACACTAAACACTTCCTGGTGGATAGTCATGAGGCATTTTTTCTTATTCGTTGAATAAAGTAGTAGTAGAAGCTAGAGGTAAAAAAAATAACACAGTTCCACTTAACATGAACTTTATTGAAAACCACGCTCATGTCAGCCTCAAGCATGGGATAAATTCCTTCCGTGCAAATCTATCATGATCTTCTGGAATTACACTGATTTTTCATGGAGGAATTCAGCAAACATTGCAAGAAATGCATCAGAGCTTCTGATAATTTATTGAGTATCTCTGTTAGAACCAAGTCTGGTGACACAGATCCTAGACACATGGTGATGAATGTACCGTGGGGTAGGGTAGTCGCAAAGAAAATAACCATCTAGTCTTGGGAACCCAGAAAGCAAGCAAACAATAGTTGTGAGACAATGAGTCCTAAAACAGCTGTTTTCCTAGAAAACTTCAAGTTAATAGCCTCACATAAGAAGTGGTGGTTAAATAGAGTGGCATGAATGACCAGGACCTGCTGTCAACAGAGGACCAAAGCACACTCATCCAAGTTTCTTCATCTGGAGGAAAAACTAAAAAAAAAAACCTAAGGAATTATAAATTTCCACAGCATATGTGAGTGAATCTCACCCCCAGGGTCTCTTGGAGTTGATTATTCTATACTTCAATCATGGGATTGAAAACAATAGCACCTTTCTTCCAGATGCCACAGGATAACAGAGTAGCTCGGGGATATTTATACATGAGTAAATTCACTAAATATAACTTTGTAGAGTGTTTTTCTTAGCTGCCAAAGAAAAAGCTTTAAAACAACAAAAGGTCTGTATGCAATACAGTTTAGTAAGAGGAAAAACACCACTGTACCAACTCAATGTCAATGAAAGGTTGTGAAAGCTTAAACACTTAAACTTAGCTAAAGTCATTTTTTAAAAAATCAGTACTTCAGATTGTGTCTTTAAGAATATGTCATCCTGGTGATGCCCTCTTGTCTCAGAGGCAGACTGAACCATAAGCGCAGGCTTCTTGGAAAATGTTTTCTGAAGTATGACAGGGTTGAGAGAGACACTTTTCTCATACACAAACCTTCCTCCCACTCACATCTTTCTCAGGACCTAGAGGGAAATCAGTTCTAATAGCAATAAAATATTTTGGAACACTGCTTCACGTTAGAATGTATGCATAAGATTGACAGTCAGTTCTTTCAAAAAAAAAATTCCTTGTGACTTCAGATTAAAAAACATGCTGACAAACTGATGGTGTTGGATACTGGAGAGAAAACTAGAGGCAGATCACAAATGCAAAAACCCCAATTTTGTAACTGGAGCACACTGAGGTCTGTGGGCTTGTTTTTAAGTCCTGGGTAATATAGAAAGTATATGTGGTTCAGCATGTTGAGAATGAAAACACAAACACATCTAAACCCACAATTTAGAGTTTTCAGTGTGATGGATAAAGTTGTGCCTACTTCTAAAAGCAACTCAGAGAATTAAGGAAATTAAATTGATCATTTAAGCCTCTCAAACCATTTCCCTACATGTTTTAGGTGAATGTCATTTGAGGGTTTAACCTTCAGTAAATTGCCCCAATTTGTTTCATTTTGAGTGTGTACACACAGACAGGGCTGGATTCAGAGCATTCTCAATGTGGGCTCTTTATTTTCCATCAAGTAGCAGTGCAGAGAAGGCAATGGGCAGTAGTCTTTCCACTGGCAAAAAAGCAGGCAGCATTTACGGGCTGTTTTCCTAAAATTAAAAACTTGTATGAAGAGACCAAAGAATTGAAGTGAAGGGATGTGTGTGTGTGTGTGTGTGTGTGTGTGTGTGTGTGTGTGTGTGTGTGTGTTTTCTCTTTTTAGAGAATTTGTTGACTTAATCACTCAGAATTATGGGTAACAAAACCATCACATTGAAGTATCTACTTGATAAATATTGATGAGTACTGGTCATTATTAGTAATGTAATAACTAAGTAATGAAATAATACTAAGTAAATAGTCATTTTTAATAAGTTTAGAGCAAATATGAGAATACATGGTAAAGCTATATTAGGTATTTAGTTTGGCCAATAAGATGTAGCAACAACATTGGCTGTTGAGACCAGTTAGAATTACTAAGAGATAAAAAAGAAATCTAAGCACACAGAGTGCTTTTGCATACAAAGGGTTACAGTAAGATAAGGCAGATCCAGATATGAGAACTCTTACATGCCCATCATTCTGTCTGCTGAGAAACTCCATTAAATAAAGATAATTTTCATGATGTTATTAAGATAAATTATATAAGTTGAATGTAACCCATGGACACAAAAAGCTAACAAATGATCATTTTTTCTACATGTAAAATATAATCATAACCATTTCTTACTCTGATTTAGGCTCTGTGATAGAGAAACTTATTCTTCATATCTTCTACATAAAATCAAGGTGTTGTTCTACATAACAACTTCAGATGCTTGTTCAGTGTCACCTGTCACGTGATTTCCAAGGACTGCAGCGATTTTAAAACACCAGCTAGAGACAATTACTAGTGGGAGAGGGAGACTTAGAGGCCAGGAATTTGAGAGGTGGTGGAGAAAGACTGGGAGAACGTGGGAAGGGTGGGAGAGAAGACTGGGGAAATGATGTAGTCATATTTTAATTAAAAATAAATTAATAGAAAAGAAAATTCAAAAATATTTTAAAAGCAGTAGCAGGAATACAAATAGAATGAGATTTGTTTTAAACTATAAAAATTAAATTTTAGCTTAATTTGGGACAAATATGTGGTGATATATTGTGTACCCTAATAAACCTTGCCTGAGGATCACAGGACAGAGCCAGCGACTAGATTAGACATAGAGGCCAGACAGTGGTGGCACACACCCTTAATCCTATCACTCAGGAGGCAGAGATCCATCTGGACCTCTGTGAGTTCAAGGCCACACTGGAATCAGAGCCAGGCAGTGGTGGCTCACACCTTTAATCCCAGTGCTGGGAAGCACATAAACCTTCAATTCCAGGAAGTGACAACAGGGTGGAGAAACGTATATAAGGCATGAGGAAATAGGAACTCAACAGTTCAGCTGAGACCCTTTTGTGTGAAGATTCAGAGGATTTCAGTCAGAGGATTCGTGGAATTAGTGGGGTAAGAGTTGGTGGCTGTGGCTTGCTCTGTTTCTCTGATCTTTTAGCCTTCACCTTGATATCTGGCTCTGGGTTTTTTATTAAAAGTCCATCTAAGATTGGAACAACACAAATGAAATCTTCACCATGTGTAATACTGAATACATAGATATAGGTAGACACTTGCTAATGTGTCCAAAAGTGTTTAAAGTTTTAATGTTTAGGTTCATGCATTGAATTATTCTAGGTATTTGGTATATTTTATGATATGTTTATAAATTATCTATGTGTGTATATTTATTATTAATTAATTGATTGATTTTTTTTTGGACAGGGTCTCAACAAAACTCAGATTGACATTGGATTCATGATTCTTCTACATTCATCTCCCAACTGTTGGCAGTATAGGTTTGTGCCACCATACTCAGAAGTAAATTTATTTTAAAGAGATTTTGGAGTTAATGTTAGCTTTCAGAGACTTCTAAAGATAATTCAGAATTTTCACAATATGGAAGCACTCATCCAGGTTCTCCTCATTTTAGGTAGTTGTAGAAAATCTGCATAGACTTCAACTTTATTCCCTATTCTATTCTTGATATAAAGAGATATAGTTGATTTTTACCAACTTTTCAAATAAATTTTAAATTTTCATAGATTTTAGTTGAATTTTAATTGACTATTAATCTTGCTAAACAAGTATTAAACATACGTTAATGAAAATAATTTAATGGATTCTCTGCATATACAACCATATATAATAGTAAGATGCTCCTCATTCCTCTCTAATCTGTACAGTCATCTTGTTATCTCATTGTACTGTCTAATACCCACATTGTAATGTTGAAATGAAGAGTGAGAGTATCGGATATTTTTTATTTCAGAGAAAAAATTTTATATTCCACCATTGAAACACAACTCAAAAAAAGTCCTTATCTATCAAATATAGTATATTTGAAAATAAACTATAGTGGTCTCCTAAAAATTCTCTTTTATGAAATATAAAACCATAAAATTGTAAAGAATGAATGGGCTTTAGTTGTGTACAATGACAGAGAGTACCCCCACAAGCAGATATTCAGAAATGGACATCAGATACAAAAGTATATATATATATATATATATATATATATATATATATATATATATATATATATTTCCTCTTTATAAAGTTTACAGATTATGGTGTTAGAAATCAGAAAATCAGTTACTTTCAGAAAGCAGCCAATGGGTACCAACCAGTAGGAACTTAGATTCTCTTGACGGACTAATGGCTACACATGTGATATCCTTGTAATGCTTCCTTGGATTGTTCATATTTGCGCAAATTTCTGTGTGTGTTTTATATTTTCTACTTAAAAACAACTTTGGAAATGTTGAAATTTCTTTCACATACTGAATAACGGAAAAGATCTCTGACACAGGCAAGTGGGGACAGAGACTGGGCCTTCAGACCATGCGTGTTTCACTGTGTGATGATGCCCCTTAGAAACAAAGTGA